CAAATATTTTATTTTGGCAGTTATACTTTTATAAAGTTATACTTTGATTTATTGTATGTATTATTGTTTTTTCTTCTGCAGTATCCTCTAAAATTTTCCTGAGGATATTAAGTGTAGCTGCCTTCTGATTGTTCTACTGTCTGATCAGGTGTTGATATGGATAGAAACAATTAATACAATTCCTTTTTTTTTCCTTTTGAGAAAGCAGAGTTACTGACTTTGTGAGGGGGGAAATGTATGGAGCACAAAAGCCTGTCTGTTTAAAAACTTCGTTCCTAAAACTATATAAGAATGAGCAACTTAAGTTGCCATTTATTCTAACATGGTTAACATGAGTAATAACCTCAAAAAATGTCAGAGAAACAACAGTCTGACTTTAAAGAGCACCACACTGGGAGGAGATTCCAAAATCAAAGCAAATCCATAACTTTGCTAGTAATGTATCACACATGCTTGGAAAAGTACACTTGCCAACACACTGGGAGAAAATGCTCAGTGAAAATTGATGGGTAGGAATAAATTAGTATAATCCTAACATATTGACTTGTTAAAGCAAAATGAAGACAGCTGTAAGATCTTTTCCCCCTTCCATCATACCAATGTTAGCGACTGGTAAGTTAGCAAGCCTTATAAAATGAAATATAAATAATATATCACTATTTAATTTTTGCTGTTCATTGTTCCATTATTCTTTTGCCAGACCCATTATTTGTCATTCTGTATTTTTAAAGCTAACACTGAGCCCATAGAAATTCCGTTGTATTTCCTTTCCAGTTTTCTTTGTTTACAAAGACTTTCCATACTAAGGTGCAGATGTGTTGCAGGAACAGCAAGTCATACCTGTTCATTTAAACACGTGAATGTGAATTTTTCAGTCTTCAATGGCATTTCTCTTTTGTTTTAGTTTTGACTTTGAAAGTGTGGAGAGTACTGTGGAGAGCTCGGTGGACAAATCAAAGCCCTGGAGTAGGTCCATCGAGGACCTGCACAGAGGGAGCAACCTGCCCTCACCTGTGGGCAACAGTGTCTCCCGCTCTGGAAGACATTCTGCACTGCGGTGAGTTCGTTTAATCAGGAGGCAACTTTGGCAGGGTGCACTGGGACAACAGGGTCCTACTTCTTTTGATGATTCTGGGCACTGTATCTCATAAATTGCCACAGAGCGCTTTCATTTACAATGACTCTAAATGAAAGTTTCTTTAGGAGTTCATGGGCTCTTTCCTTGGGTGATGTTTGATAACTTTAAATAGCTTCTGGAAACACCATACCTTGATTCAGCACAAAAGGTGAGAAAATTCTGCTGCCAAGTGATACAACGGGGTAGTCTCATAGGCAGATAAGGTTTTGATACCAGGGAAATGTTGACATCCTGGTGGAGGTACTGTTTCCAGGGTAGAGGCAGCACTTAGCGATCTGGGGATCTAAAGAGCCCCTTGTTACCCTTTGTCCTTCTGCTCTCTTTCATGTCTCCAGCGGTAGCTCAGGGTGTGTGCTCTGGGGTAGCCATAGGTACAGAATGCCATAGTAATCATTTGTATTGGTGAGATGCCATGAAGCAGTGTTCCTTTGATTAGGTATGCTTCAGTTGTCAACCTTTTTTTTTTTTTTTAGATGGAATCTCACTCTTGTTATCCAGGCTGGAGTGCAGTGGCACAGTCTTGGCTCACGGCAACCTCCACCTCCCGGGCTCAAGCAATTCTTCTGCCTCAGCCTCCCAAGTAGCTGGGGTTACAGGCACCTGCCACCACACCCAGCTAATTTTTTTTTTTTTTTTTTTTTGGTGTAGTTTTAGTGGAGACAGAATTTCACCATGTTGGCCAGGCTGGTCTCGAACTCCTGACCTCACATGATCTGCCTGCCTTGACCTCCCAAAGTGCTGGGATTACAGGTGTGAGCCACTGTGCCCGGCCAGTTGTCAACCTTATATTTCTTCCTAAGTATTCCCTTTCTCATCTCTCCTGGCTAAAATAGTACCATGCTAAGGGAAGATTGGTGCTGACCACCTATACCAGTAATGGGTTTAATGTTGCTGAGGTTGTTCGTTCACTCATACCTACAATCATTCATTCATGGAAAAATATTTTTGTGCTTCTTATTTGTCAGGCATAACACTTAGAACAAATTGTATATTGGTGGATAAATCAAACTCCTGCCTGTCAGGACAGAGATATCATCTAGAACAAGTTTGTAAAGGTTTTCTATAGTTCATGATTTTCACACAAAATTTTATTAATAAGACCCTCATTCCAAAATGTTGCTTACTCTTTCTTTTCATTTTTTTCTATCCTACCCCCTTACTTACTCTTTCTTGCTTAAAGTGTTTCTGTCTTATTTCAGGCATGCTCTGGTAAGAGGACGTTATTTCTCTAAGTGTTTACGATCACTCGGGTTTTCAGTCATTGTAGTAGAATCCATATGTCAAATTGCAGTCAGTGAAAATGTGGCGTTCAGACCTTTGCATTTGGTTGCCTAATTACCTCTTGTCCCTTTGACTTGGGTTTTGGTCATGGAAAGTTAAACATTTCTCTGTAATAAAGTTCAGTTCTGCTGAAGGATTTGATCTTTGAGTATGATACCGCCAATAAATCATTCAGATTTTCCTTGTTTAGAACTGGAAGAAAATGTTAATGGGTTTAGAATGAATTGATTCACTATTAAGAGCAGTGTTTCAATTCACCTCATTATATTTGCAATAGGCCAAGGGTTATGCAACCTGCTAATCTGCATCAGCTTCACATGTGGGCAGGAATATATGGGCTGCTTTGGCAGATATATAAAGAAAGGCTAATTGTCTGAAGAATTTCCTGTTCACCTTGGTACTAGAATGGAAATTTTCACCACTAGTTTAATTATTTGTAAGGAATTTAATTTACAAAGTACACTTTAATTTAGTTTTCTATCATTGGACACTTAGAAAGTATCATATATTGCCAAGCTACCACCTTAATAAGGATTCGTTTTTCTGGTTAATAATTCAGTATGCTTACTTTTTAAAGGATTTTTTCCAGTAGAGCAGAAGAATCGGGAAAATTTGGGAAACTTCCCAGGTTCAAAGAGGGATGTAACCCTGGATGCTGAAGGTCAAGGGACATCCAAGGCCAGCCTGTTCTGCTTCACAGTTTTGGTTCAAGTTGGATCTTGCTGGAATTAATTTCACATTGGAAAGTCAGACCAAAAGCATGGAGATAGGGAATTGTATCTGGAAAAAAGCAGGAATTATACATGTGCTGTTTCTGGTTGGCAGGTGTGCTTGAAGATGACCAGCTAAGAAACCAATGCCACATTCTTCTCTTTTGTGTTTTAATGTTTCAAGCTCAAGAACAGAACATTGAAATTTCCTTTGATTCTGCTGTATGGTTTCTAGTAGCTCAAGAAAGCCGACAAGGCAGTAACTTTCATGCCACTTAAGGACTTGACGCTTAGATTTTTGTTTTGTTTTTTGAACAATGTATATCAATAGTTTTCTAGCTCTTGTGGTTTGTGGATTTATGTCTGGATTCTAATTCTGTATTTGGTCATTGGATATAGCATCTGTGACATAAAAACAACAATCAGAAGTACAGGCATATGGTCCATGTTGCTTTTCATGTACCCAAAGATTGTTTACATTTTTTTCTCTTCCTCCTCCTCTCCCCTTTCTCTCTCTTCTGCACACACTGCCTTCACTTTTGGCTTTCTTTTTATCATCCTCCCTTTTCTTTCTACCACCTCATTTCTGATTTTCTTCTCCTCTTCCACTTTGTCCTTTCTCGTCCTGCTGTCTCCTCCTCCTCTGGTTTCACTAATCTCTTATGCCACCACCAGATTGGTTTCTCTGCCTGAGTATTTTCAGTTCCATTGCCATTACAGCTGCTTCTCCCCTCTTGCCTCTGGAGCAGCTTCAATATACACACTGATGATGAGGCTTCAAACCGGAAAATCTCGTAAGTCACAGGTGAAAACGACATCCAAGCGAGCTCACAGGGCATGGTGGCAGGGCGTTCCGACTGCTCTCCATGATATAATATGATAACCTTGTGGCTTTGTGCCGACATGCCGTACTAGAATAAAGCCTGCTGCCTTTTCAACTTTGATACACTCTGTTATCATATTATGATTCCTTATTTTTAGAATTTGAACCTTTACAGTATCTTGCATTTTAATAGCACAGGTTGGTTTTTTGTTTTTTTTCTTTGAAAAAGAAAAAATATATAAATTCATGCTCTATGAAGATGATTTATTCTGGTAGCTTTGTTTAATTAGTATATGTCTTCTGTACCCAAATGCAGATTTTAGTTCCTTCTTTTTAATCTCCCGATAATAAGACAGATATAGTAATCTTATCTGATACCACTTGGCAAAAGGATTGGTTAATCTTGGAAGAAAAAAAATGAGATTTCAGGAAATTTAAAACACGTTGTAAATGGGCATGATTAAAGAAAAAATGAAAAACACTGTGTTCAGCTGGGCACAGTGGTTCACGCCTGTAATCCCAGCACTTTGGGAGGCCAAGGTGGGAGGATCACTTGAGGTCAGAAGTTTGAGACCAGCCTGGCCAACATGGTGAAACTCTGTCTGTACTAAAAATACAAACAACAACAACAAAAACTAGCTGGGTGGGGTGGTGCACACCAGTAATCCCAGCTACTTGAGAGGCTGAGGCATGAGAATCGCTTGAACCTGGGAGGCAGAGGTTGAGTGAGCTGAGATCATGCCACTGCACTCCAGCCTGGGCGACAGAGCAAGACTCAATCTCAAGAAAAAAAAGAAAAACACTGCGTTCTAAAATACAAGTTTTTTTTTTGTTGTTTTTTTGTTTTTACCAAATTCTAATGTTGACATACCTTTTCCTCCTTGTAGTCATACTTTACTTTTTAATTATTCAAAATTGATTGTTAAACATTTTATGTCATAACATACCCCCTGAGTCATATCAGCTATTGGATTCTGTATTACCATGTATTTGTCAGGCTAGAGGGAAACTATTGTTATTGATGCAGTGGAGACCTGGTTTATATTGTCTCCTAAAATGAGAATGTGGTGTGCCTTCAGTTAAGACAGGTTTCTGTCAGCGTGGCTACAGAGCTTACTAAATTTAACAATGCTGTATAGGGACATAGGTGCACATCAGATCTGTGAGGACAAAGGCTGTGTTATTTCAGATGCAAGAGAAAATACTTTCTGATTTTTAAGGAGGTCCAAATTAATGCTATTAACTCGAGTAAGAAATGACATAGTAAGTAAATGAGTTTTTAAAGAAAGAGGTGGAGTGCTAACTCAGGGTTTGGAGGAAGGGACAAATTTAAACTGGACTTTAGGCAATGTCCAGAGTTGGTCCTCAGGGTAAAGAAAGGTTGCTGCAGGTGGAGGGGAAGTGAAAGAACATGAGTTGAGCACAGCCCTATATAAAGATAAGGAGTGCTAGGGAAAGAGGGAAGAACCTGTCCTTTCAGGAACAGGTGCTTTATGATGGAGGTGGAGAGCTGTCCAGTGGAGAGACAGAGTCATGAGACAGGAACCAAGATTCACCGTTGCTATTGATCCTTGTAACCAAGGATGATAATTTCAAAACAATTATATAATCCTGCTCATTTCTTCCTTAAAAATTTTTTGTCTTCTTTTACTTTTCTGAATACGCCCATAGTTTACGTATTCCCATTGCAATGTTTTATTTTCAAATATCTTTTCTTTAAAAACAACACCAAGATCCACATTGCCTTTAATATACTTAACTACCATTAGTATTTCTTCTACACTCCTCCAGAGCAAGAGTTTGTTTTTCTTAAGAGCAATAATTGTTTTTCTTATGATGATGACGATGGCGATGATTTTTTGAGACAGGATCTTGTTCTGTTGCCCAGACTGAAGTGTAGTGGCACAATCATAGCTCACTACAGCCTCAACCTCCTGGGCTCAAGAAATCTTCCCCCTTCAGCAACCCAAGTAGCTGGGCCTACAGGTGTGTGCCACCATGCCTGGCTAATTTTTAATTTTTTCTGTGGAGATATGATCTCACTATGTTGCCCAGGCCTTTCTCAAACTCCTGGTCTCAAACAGTCCTCCTGCTCAGCTTCTCAA